TTCTTGCCTGTTCACCCTGCCTATACTTTCTGCCTGGCTACTGGCCAATCAGCATTGTATTAAAACAATACAAGTAACAAATTTATACAGGCTACAAGATGATTGTCCCACAGCAGAAAATTGTGGAAAAAAAGAGAAAAACACAGGATACATGTTCATAGAAGAATTCTACCATAAAGTGCTGCATTAAATAAATATACACAAGCACTGGGACTGAGACCATTACAAAGGCTACATCAATGTAATACAGCCTACTTGTTATTTTAAAGAAGTTTAATGAAAGTTATGGAAATACTGTAACTATAGCATGCTCTCTTTAAGCTTGTCCTAGCTCACAAAGCTTGCAACAAATCGTCCCACTAAGTAACTAGTTATTCATCTTCTTAACATTGTTATCACTTGTTCATGGTTAAGACATTGGCAGTTTAGCAGGTAAAGGCTCTTGCTACCCCATGAAGACCTGAATTTTCTCTTGAAGACCTACATGGAGCAAGGAAAGGACTGACTTTCTCAATTTGTCCTCTGACCCTTAGGAGTGAACAAATATGCCTGTGCACGTGCACACACATACACACACACACACACAGAAATGCAATAAATTTAAGAAATTGGGATACATTTGTACTTTTAGAGCCGAGGATGTGACCCTGCTAGTAGAGAATGCTTTAGCATGAACAAAGCCTTGAATTCAATTCTTAACACTGTGTAAAATTAAATGTGGTGGCAATCTTCCTGTTATCTCAGACTTGAGTAACAAGTTTGAAGCCATTCAGGACTACACTCTATAATAGATATAGAATATTTGATGTTTTAGAAGCTTACTTGAAACTGAAAATGTCTAATGAAATAAGCAGTTGCATGTTAACTACAGTGACAGTCAAGTTAAGGACATTGTGATGGTTTGAGTCAGAATGGCGTCATATGCTCAAAATTTGAATGGTTGGTCCCCAATTATTAGAACTGTTTGGCAAGAATTCGGAAGTGTGGCCCTGTTGGAGCAGGCACAGCTTTAGTCTGTCACTTCAAAAGCCCACTCTGGGTGCAGGTCACTCTTCCTGCCTGGAATTTGCTGATCAGATATAAGCTCTCAGCTACTGCTCGAGCACCATGCCTGCCTGCCTGCTGCCAATCTCTCTGGTATAGTAATTATGGACTAACGTTCCAAAACTGCAAACAAGGCCCTAATTAAATAATTTATTTTATATGTTGCCTTGGTCGTGGTGTCTCTTCACAGTAATAGAAGAGTGGCTAAGTAAGATGTGTACTGGATCTGAATTGCAAATCTTTCTTTTATTTAGTTTATGTATAGTTTTCCCTATTCTGCATCTATAAAATGAGGCTAATGATATTGATACCTCCTCTATCAGTTGTTTGTGTAAAATTAAATAAATAATTATGTAAAATTGATGACCTGTGAAGGTTCAATAAACTAAACTTCCAGTAAGTAGTATCATCATTTTCCCAATGGTAATTACTTAAAACTTTTATTCTCCTTTAAAATGTTATTCTATTTATAGTAAAGTGATCTTCTAAAACAAATTGCTTTAATTCAAATTCTTTGTGCAGTTTATAAATAATCCTCATCAATTTACTGCACAAAAAGTTGTTCCATTGAACGACATGATTTATGTAACACCTGAGTTTACTGTACTTTCATCAGGAAAAGTCACAGGCACAATTATACAATATAACTAAAAAAAAATCTTATAAAAAAGTAAAAGTAAGCTGTGAGGTGCAGTGAATAAAAGCACTCACTTCAAAGACCTCCTAGAGACTTGAGTTTGATCCCCTGGGCCCATGCAGAAATGGTGTATACAGTGACTCACACCTGCGATCCCAGCCCCAGAATTTTCTCTGTGTCTCTCACCAATACATAAAACAAATAAATATCATAAGGTTGAAATACTTCATCTTTTCATTTCTGTATCCTTTACATTTCTGTATGCTATCAACAACACAAGTATAGTCATATACTGTGATGTAATGTAAATATAATTGCATTATATCACTTTATAAAGTATTCATTTTCATTAGAATTTTATACTGAGTAGTAATTGAAGTTCACAAATCAGAGAGACAAAGATAATTATGCATAAAAAGGTTGAATAAAACTGCCTGAATTATCATGGTGATTCTAGAAACTTCGATTGTAGAACAGTGTTACGTGATCACATGAAGAGTTACAGGGATCAAGCTTGCTGAAAGAGGAAGAATCAGCCTCCTGTAGCCATGAACTCCCACACAGGCTGCCCAGTCCCATATGGCTAGTCATGGATACATGTGAATATTGACAACATGAGTAGTAGATTATAAATTATCTTTATAATTATTATAAACATTAGTAGATTATAAATATATTCATGTATACATAAGTATATAGATTCAACAAAAATGATGAAAGACAAGGTCATGAATTTGGGAATGGGGACGCTGGAAAAGTTAGAGCTAGAAGTGACAAAGATGCAGTACCCGTGTGTGCAGTTTTCAAAGACAAACTATTCTAACACTCAAATACAAAAGGAGGAAGGAAGGGAAGAGAAGGAAGGAAGGAGAAGAGAGGGAAGAAGGGAGGGAAGGAGACAGGGAGGGAGAGAGGAAGACAAATAAGCCTCCAGAATGAAGCACAATGTGCTGTCCCAAAGTCATCTCTTGGCCAGCTTCCCAAATGGTCTTGCATCATGGGCTCATGGCAGTCACAGATATGACATTTGTGTGTAGTGTGTTTTACACAAAGTACTGATGTATCCTGAAACATGTCAAGGAGATAAATTGTACCTGTAGGTATTTGTTCATGAAGTAGCCTTTTATAATTTAGAAAAACCTCTTAGTTGGATATATGACAAGTGCAAATAATTCCTGGATGGAAAACTCAGCCATTAATTTATATTTTATAAAGAAACTGAGACAGTAAGCAATCATTCTCAGCACCTTATTTAGTAAATGTCATTATGTTTATCCCACAGCTTCCAGGGAGGGAGACTTTATTGGTTTGGAAGTTCATCTTCAAAAGCTTGCTGGTTTCTAGGGATGCATGAACTCAACCAGTTGTTTTAACTTAAGAGGAAAGGCTGTATTTTCTCTCACTATGATGTGAGCTTTCTTCCTCAAAAATAAGTTTCCTTCTCTCATCCCATTCGATTCATCAGAGATTATTGTCTGATTTAAAATATCAGTTTCCATCCAGTATGAACACAACATCAATACCGTTGGCGTTCAGTTCATCACTGCAGTGCTGTGCCATGCATCTCCCCAAGTCACGGGATAGGCAGCTTTTACAGCCCTGACAACTATGTGTTTGTGAGCTCCTAAAAACACCTTTTGCCTTCCTTCATTTAATTTTCTACTTTAAAATGGAGGGGGATAAAGCCTTCGTGAAAATATTTCTTGCCTCTCAGAAGATTGGTCTAAAGGAACAATTTTTTCTTTTCCTTTTTCTTCTCTTCTTCCGTCCTTTCTTTTTCCTTCCTCTCTTTCTTTCCTCTTTCTTCTTTTTCTTTCTTTCTTCCTTTCTTTCTTTCTTTCTTTCTTTCTTTCTTTCTTTCTTTCTTTCTTTCTTTCTTTCTTTCTTTCTTTTTGCACACCTTCATGTGAAGGGTGTGAAGGTGTGTTCATAAATACAAGATACACCAGGACATAGAAAGGTGCTATGGAGCCAAAGTTGAAATTCTGACTCCAGCTCTTCTTGGTGACATTATCTATTAGTGCCTCTGTATAAGGAAATCACCCTGAAATTCAGTGACTGAAACCACAATTGCTTTGTTATCTGGAAGGTTTTGTGGGCTAGGACATAGAAACAGGCTTGTCTTGGCAGTCTTGGCTCCAGTTCACTCTCTTGGGTGCAGCCATATTGTGACTGGAGCTGGAAGTACTAGAAGCTGCTAGCATTTTTTTTCTTTTCCTACTCCTCCTCCTTTTCTTCCCTCTCCTCTTTCTACCCTTCCCACTCTCCTTTAAACCGAAGCTGTTCCTGATGGTCTTTTCCTTAGGGTAGGAAGATCCATAATCTCAGAGCATGCTAGCTACGGACAGATGGATTGGCAGAGCTACAGAAGGCCAGAGTCTCAAAATGATGCTCTGGTGGGTGTGGACCCTCTGTCTTGACCTAACTTTGGGAACACCCACAGCATCACTTCCTGCTACAAACTGGTTGTTTCTTAGGAGACTCTAGCGAAATGTAGATTGAAACAAAGGGATGAGGCCGCTCTTAATGAGGCAAGAGCACAATTGTTGAAGCCTTCTGGGAAGGGTGCTGCTATTACAGACAGTTCTTCCAAACCCTAACTTTATACACTTTGTCCCTTATCTACAAAGCAGAAGTACCCTGTAGTGCTTGTTCGGGTTTTCCAGAGATTCTAAGGAGATAATCCTCTTTCTAAGCATTTACAACAACAACAGAATGACACCCCATAAATTTAAGCTTTTATTAATGCCTTTGCCTCTCAGCATGACTATCACCCCAGCTTCAAAGCTTTCCTTATTTTTTCCCTGAGTTTTCACCCCCTCTACAAACTCACCAAAGCTGTGAAGTTAGCTCCTGTCTATAGAGGCCTCCAGACTTCACTTTAGTTATGTATTTGTATGCATGGATCATCTGTGTGTGAATCCTGCTTCTGAGGACTCTAAAGTCCAGTGGTACAGTTGGCTTGCTTGGGATTGATTTAGTCTACAGTAATGATGCAAATAGCAGAAAAGATATATAAACTATGACCAATGGTGAAAATGAGGCAGAACAACACAGCGATCACATTGTAAAGAATGCCTGATGCTAACTCAGGTTCACTCTTTTAACAAGGTTCCCCCCCTCCACCTTGAGATTTTCTGTTTTTTGAAAAGTGAAAATATATATGAAAAATAATAACTTTGAAAGACTTGATAACTAAACTAGTTACCTGATAAATTTGTATGGTTGGTAATTTCTTTTTATAGTGTTGAATTATCATACTCACTTCTCTTTAATTTATGTTTAATTTAAAAAGAATAGCACAGACAGTGCTACTGGAAAATGTCGGGTCATACAGTCAACGCTGTGGTTTTCTCCAGCAAGGGCTGTTTCTCCACCCCTCTACGGTGGAGTGTATCAGCCAAGTCCTGCTTCATCAGACTCAGCCTTCTTGATCCTCCAGTTTAACAAGGTTTCAAAGGTTACGGTCACCTTATTAACAGGAGGGATGGCCAAGTTAAACACCTGGCTACGAGTTGGAAACCTTAAGTCTTCAGTTATAAGGAACATAGAATACATTCTTATGACAGAATCTCAGACTTAATTGGTATTTCAGCGATCACCTCTCTCCTCACAGAGGAATCAACACTGCGTCTCTTTCTAAAGCAATGAAATCTGATTCAAGAACAGCACCCATATCAAAAAGAAAAACGGGGGCTCCTTCTAGACTGAACCACAGGCTACCAGTCCTGCAAAGTTTTAAGTAGGACTTGCTTTCTTGCTCTGTGCCTAATCATTTAAATTCCATAAAAAAAAAAAAGAAAATCACAGTACATTAAAATTTCAAAAAGCCATTTGGGAATAATACAACTCTAGCATTCTCATTTCCCGGGAGCCCAGAGATATTTCAGACGAATTTGCAGTTGAACTCCAGGAATGTCAGGTCTCAGGAACAACAGACGAAGAGGCTCTAATTAGCTGTGATGAACACTGATTATAGAGCACGGATATAACAATGATTGCAAAAGAAAAAAACAAGAGGTGATGCGGCGGTCTTCCATATCAAGTGGGGCTGTGTAATTAGAGGAATTGAATCCCAGCAGGCAAATGGATGCATCTGTATTTGTGCCATCTTGTGGCTTTGTGGCAGGGAGTTGTTCTCGGAAAGCACAAAGGAGATGGAAGCGTACTTATTCCGTGTCTTTTATCTATTATCCAGTTAATTTGTATTTTTTTTCTTGGTCATTTCCTGCTTCCTTCTTATTCTCCACAGAAAGTCCATTTCCTTCTCAATATCTGGTACTGTTACCTGATTAGAGCGATCTATTTAGAACAGCCCCTAATCGTTCTGATTAATAGAAGAGACATAAGCTCACAGGGAAGAGGAGATGCTATTTTTATATGAAATATGTGCTTTTAAGTCAATGCTGTCTCTCTCACATCTGCAAAACACAACAAGAAAACTGTGCCTGGCAGTGATGCCAGGGATGGTGCTGATGTCCAGAAGCCCTGTGAGGCTGGCCAGAGTATGACTGATCATGAACAAATCTCTTAAACGTAAGAAGCCCATTGGTCATCTGAACTGCCACAGAAGGACCAGTCACTTGTTAAGTGATCATGGGATTCCCTTGAACAGGAGCCTGTCTTGAAAGTCACTGTCTTTTGATTCCCTGATGGCCTGATGGAAGAGACAGGAGAGGAACGAGGACCGCACCAAACCCTGCAAAATACACAAAAACAAAAGCAGCTCACAACAGCCTTAGCTACTGATAGCAAGTTCCTGCCGCCCTGCAGACTGATCACAAAGCCCCTTTCCTGGGCTCTTCTGCAATTAGGTATTCAAGCTGAAATGAAGAACAAACGTAAGATCTGTTTTTCCATTGTAAGAAGTTATTGTTGGTGGAGTTAGATTGAGTGGCATAATTCCTTGTTGTGACAGATTGTCTGCGTTTGCTCTGGGAACACCGTGTAAGTATAGAGAAGCAGCAGAAATTGTTAGGCACACACAATACACGCCACACATCCGTGTGCTCTGCACCTTCTTTAATATTTCCATCTAATAATTCTCTAGACTTAACTAGTACAAGACAAGCATAGTCACTCATATGAAAATTATACCTCAGATTTTACTATCCTACAATTTAAAGCACAAAAATATCCTCTGATGGAAGGCAAATTATGCTGCCTGTGATTTATGAAAAATGTGAAGAGAACACCTCATTGTCATACACATTTGCTAAAGATCTGCTATCAAAGGCACTTCGTAATTCCTTTTGGGGGCACGTATTTGTAACAGAAATGATCACACATCCACACTGATAGATACATAAACCAAATATTTCTAATAAGCTCCTGTTACATGGCAGGCAAAAGATATGGACAAAGCAGGCCCTGGACAGAATTGCCAGGGTCCACTATGCTCAATGGGTCTCAAGACCACAATGGTGCACAGGAGGAAAACACATGCAATAGTGTACGGCCTTCTGCTGCACTGGAATAATCAGTGAAATTTACTCATTAAATATCAGCACTGTATACAGACCAAAGCGTTCAGGGCTGACCTGGGCCACGGCCTCCTAGTTTGGAAATTGTTGTACATTGTGGCTTCAGCTTGGATTAAATGTGCTATGGACTGGCAGCGGCAAGCTGCGATCAGTGGGTGCTCAAGGAAGGCCTAGAGCAAGACATACAAGTTAAGAGTTATAATTTAAGAGTTGACATAAATTGCTATGCAGGATCTTGGCAATTTAAATACACAGTAATCTTTTATGATGATACACAATTACTCACTTTTCTGCTATCTGCCTGATGGTTAAACATGAGGTTAAAACCAAAGCCCTTAGTTTCACCCTAACATCATCCCAATATCCCCACTTTTTGCAAAAGAACATTATACATAACAGAAAACAGGACAAAGTCTACATGGCAGCTTTGTAGTCTGCATATTGAATGGAAGGGGCATCCTTCCCACAATTAAAGAACCTTCCCAGGAGCTAAAATCCTACCACCCTGATACTCTGTGTAGGCTTTGAGCTTTCTGCCTTCCCGGGGACCCATCTGCAAAGGAAGTAGAACATGTCCTTACCCAGAGGATGGCAAACACTATTGAGTTCCACTCAGAAAACAAGCAAGGACAAAATCAGCATGATGGTTGCCTTAACATAGGAAAAGTAAGTCACTGTTTCCTGGTCTATTTTTGGAGAGAAGGGATAGGAGAGTGCCTGAAGCAGAAACCATGAGGGGCTAATAAAAGCAATAAATAAAAAATGATGGTTTTGTCTAAAAATGTATCATCCCGATTTTGACCAAATTGTGGGTATAATCACTAAAGCCTGAGTGATTATAGAAAAAAGATCCGATTCCTCAGCCCCCATCTTGTCAAGCTAATTTTTCCTCAAGGTTGCTGTATGATCATGGTTCTAAGAATTAATGGTGTTCAAATCCCTGTTTGCATAAGGGCACAAGCTTTTACTATAATATTGTTAACAATCTAAACATTCCAAAAGGGAAAACAAAAACTCCATGAAATTGTGCTCATGACCTGGGAAGCAGAAAATCATGACAATGTTCAGAGTCTTGGCTTCTGAGTGTAGTAATATTTTACTCACATTTGTTTTCTACACGTTTATTCTTAAAATGTTCTCATATATGTCCTACAGTCTGGTCAGATATCTCTAGTCTTGCTGTCCTTGGTAACTGTCCCCACTCTGTCAAGGGCACCCACTTTTGCAACATTCCCAGACATGTTTTTTATTTTATTTATTTATTTTTTGTCGTTGTTGTTAGAACAAGTTTAGGATGAACTGTTGTTATTAAAGACTTGTGTTGCATACGTTTTTCCTGGGGAGACATGAACAAACGCTGGCACTCCCTCTGATAGAGCACCAATGACAAACAAAAACAATCCCGGCAAAATCCAACCTTTTGGACAACTAAGATGTTTATTGGACTTAATTACAGGTCATGGGTGCAGGGTTTCTCATAGGATCATGGGTGGCTACATAACACCAAGTCTCACCCCACATAGCGGCAGATGTGGAGTTCCTTGTCTGCGGTTAATATAATCTAGCATTCCATAAGGCCATGAGGCCATGTTCATTGAGGGCAGAATTACATAGAATTGGCTGGGAGGTTTATGAGGGAGCAGCATGAACCCCAGGTGCTGGACCAGTGACCTCCTCCTTTTCTCCTTCTGTAAGGGAGTATCAACAGTCAACAGGCCTCACCTCAAGGATCTCTTTCAAATGATCACAGCCTCTCTGATGAATGACAGCTGTCACGCTGGAAAGTCAGTAATCCATAACTTGCTTTCCTGCTCACTAACAAAATAGGACAGGTGCAAAGATAATAGAAATAAGGAAAGGTATTCTTCAAAATGAAGAAGAGAAAATGTGATACTGTCCCAGCACTGAACCGAAGAAAAGCAAAGGTGGCAAGAACTGTGAGCCTACCACTGGCAGCTGGATTGGCAGAGCTGGAGAAGAAAAGTGCATCTCAGAGAAAGGGAGAAAGATGTGCCTATGATAAAAATTAAGTTCCTTTTACTGTCTCATCTGTCCCTTAAGGAGCACAAGGGGAAGAAGTAATTTCAAAACTGCACCTTCTGTGCTTACACACCAATTTTGATTTATGATAGGTACTGGTATTTCAAATATTACATTTCCTATAACTAGGAAAGATGAGGAAAATAAACTGTCCAAACTAGATTTGAGCTAAATCCCATTCTGACTTTTCAAATAGAGAATAATTTCAGTAAGAGTAAAGGTCTTTGTCAAGAGGGGGAAATAGACACTATATTTAGCTCATCAGAGCCAAGATCAGGGTAATTCAAAAGCATAGCCACCTGAAACTTGGCATAGGATACATCCTTTAAGATATGCTTACTGAAAGGGGAGATATAACAAGAAAAATGTGTCCTAGAGTGAGAAATTTGGTAAAAGCCCACATGCATATGTGCATTTACAGATGCACACACACTCACAGAGGCATACTCACACAGATGCACATACTCACAAATGTGCACACTCACAGATGTACATTTACACAGATATGCATACACTCACAGATGCACACTCACACAGATGCACACTTACTCACAGATGCATACCCACAGATGCACACTCACAGATGTAAACACAGATGCACACTCACAGATGCACACACATATAGTTGAACACATACTTACGGATGCACACACACTCACAGATACACACACATACAGATGCACACTTACAGCTGCAAACACTCACAGATGCATACCCACAGATGCACACTCACAAATATGCACACTCACAGACGTAAACACTCACAGGTGCATACTCAGAGACGGACACACATATAGTTGCACGCATACAGATGCACAGACACACAATATAGATATATGCTCACACAGATATGCATACATTCACAGATATGCATACATTCACAGATGCACACACATACAGATTCACACTTAGACACATGC